CCCAATGACATGTAACAGTTAAATAATCACACCCATTAGGACTACGACCTATATCAGATGTGATAGACACTTTACAATCTAAGTGAAAAAATACACAACGAATATACTGAAGATATTCGGTTTGAAATTTAAAAACATCATTTCTAATCGTGGTCTTAGGAAAACCTTGAAAAGCAGGGTTATAAGTTTCTTGTATATAATGCACAAAAGCAGGGTGAGAAGAGAAAGTAAAAGGTAAGCCACAGACAGCCACCATTTTTGCTAAGTTCTCACGATCTCTATCTTTATTATAGGTGTGTAAAACATGACCAGAAGCAGGGTCAAGTTGTTGTTGAATTTGATTAGAACCAGATCCACTAGGACTGCCAGCACTTATAGTAGGATCTATAATTTTTCCGGCTTCTATGTTAGCTTGTATCCATAAAGATTTGTGATCATTTATTAAGTGTCTAGTTAAACCCCCCGTCCCACCACTTGTTGAGTGTGCAAATTGTTGCTTATATTTTTCACATATAGAACGATGATTGACTTTATCATGTTTAAAAAATTTCCATACAAGTGATGTTTTGGGACGTTCAGCCTTAGGCTTACCCCTTACAGGGGGTACAGGGGGTAAAACTCCAGACTGAGATTGACTCTGTGTTGGAGCTTGTGTTGCGGGACTAGTGGGTGTTTCATCTAATTCTTCTTCCTCATTTTCTTCATCCTCATTTTCTTCGTCCTCAAAAAAAAATATCATTGTCAAATTATCTTTGTAAAGTTTCATGATCTAATTGTTCTCCGACATGAACATCATAAAATGTGGGGGGTTAGGAAAATGAAGTTTCATCAACATGAGTCATTTCATCAATATGTTTTCTAATTCTAGGTCTAGAAGAAGGGTTAAGATTAGGATTACTACTACTTTCACCTTTACTATTTTTTATACTAATTTTTTGAAAATGTCAGATACATTTTTAGGCGTCATAATTTAAATACGAAATTAAATTAAAAAAGCTAACACAAAAATTAAACAAAAATTAAATACGAAAATATAACATGTAAAGTAAACACAACAATTAAGCACTAAAATGATACGCAAAAATTATATATTAAAATTAGGAGATGGAACGAGTGCACCGTGATTAAATATTGAAACTTGAAGAAATTGCCCTAGATTAATTGCTCCAAATACTTGACGAATTAATTTGAAGCTTGAACGTTGCTCCAAAATATTTGCCCAAATACTTGAAAGTTATCACTTGATACTTGATAGTAACAAAATTGAGAGAATAATATAGATAGAATATTAGAATGTAAGATATTTGAGAGAGAAGATTGATTTTTTCTGGAAAAAAATGAAGAAGAATGGGAGGTATTTATAGTAGAAAATAGGGTCAAAAGTGTAATTTAATAAACTTAGGGGTTATATTAAAAGTTTGGGGGGGAGGGGGGTAGGGCTGTTGGCAACGACTATTTTGCAATTTTAGCCGTTGCCCAACGGCTAGCTTTTTTTTTAAAAAAAAAAAAATTGGCGGGACTCGGGACGGAACGGGATGAAACGAGACGGGACAAACGGAACGAAATGGTTGTCCCGTCCCATCCTGTGTCCTGTTTAACATTGGCCCATCCCGTTTAACTTGGGGCGGGATGGGACGGGATGGGATGCGGGACAGGACGCGGGACGGGATGCGGGCCGGCCCGGCCCGTCCCGTTGGACAGCCTTATCGCCACCCTTCAAGTTGAAATATCTAGGCCCTCCAAGTCTCCAAGTTAAAGTCTTCAAATCCGTCGATCTTCAAGTTTCAGTCTTCAAATTCGTCGGTCTTAAAGTCGAAATATTTAAACCTCCAAGTCTTCAAGTTGAAGTCTTCAAGTTAGGGTCCTCAAACTCGTCGGTCTTAAGTAGAAATATTTGAGCCCTCAAATTTTTCATGTTGAAACGTCAAAGTTTGCCGAATCTTCAAGTTTGTCGGTCTTCAGGTTGAAACGTCAAAGTCTGCCGAATCTTCAAGTTTGTCGGTCTTTAGGTTGAAGTCTGCAAAGTCCGCCAAATCGTCAAAGTTTTCTAAGTGTTCAAGTAGACTTCATCAAGTCCATAAAGTCTTTGAGTTGAAGCTTTATAACTTTCCAATCTTAAGGTGGACATATGAGTCCCTTTGCACCTTAAGTTGGCCTCTCCGACAGTCAAGCCACATTGAGAGTAATCTCTCTGATAGTCGGGCCACATTGAGAGTAATCTCTACGATAATTGGGTCTCCTTGAGAGTAATCTCTCCGATAGTCGGGTAATTTTGAGAGTAATCTCTTCGATAGTCGAGTCATTTTGAGAGTAATCTCTCCGATAGTCGGGTCGTTTTGAGAGTAATCTCTCCGATAGTTGGGTCGTTTTGAAAGTAATCTCTCCGATAATCGGGTCGCTTTGAGAGTAATCTCTCCGATAGTCGGATCATTTTGAGAGTAAATATTTTTACGATAGTCGAGCCACATTGAAAGTAATCTCTTCGATAGTGGGGCCATTGAGAGTAATCTTTTCGATATTTGGGCAGGGATAAGTATCCATCCCCTTACACCCGAACACCTTAAGATCTTCTTCTTCATGCGTAGATCATCTTGTTGAATAAAAACATATTTTTCTCGCTTGATCTACAAAAAAAAAAAAAAAAAACAAAGAAAGAAAAACACAAGAAAAAATTTTATCTTCGCGTTAATGCTCGCAACGTCAAAGAAGGACTCGAAACAGCCATCAAAGGCAGCAAATTGAAGATGACAAGCGTAGAGCATTGTGCCATATATGTAGTAAAAGCAAAAGGTGGTTGTCAAATAGTGATTTCGATGTGGGACGTTGCGACAATTAGTCTTTGAAAAGGACTCTGGATAGTTGAAAGGCGACAGCTACAATTTGTATGAGTAAGGTGTGATTGGCAGACTTCAAGAAGGGATCAAATAGCTTCCTAGTTTAATTGTTTAAGGCCACGTAAGGGCTGGAGGACAAGACGCCGTCGTAGGTGTCCAAACTTTCAAGCCTCATCTTTTAGAAGTCAATAAATTGATATTTTGACAAGTTTTGAACCATGAGACATTTGTAGGCATATAAAATTTATTGGATTTAAATTCATAAAATTAATTTGGACTATATTTTAAATTCAAGACATATTGGTCNCACATAACTTCAACATACGGGGCTGAAGTAGCAAAGGCAATCACGCAAAACATCAGCATTCTAGTAGCCGGACCTGAAGTTCAGCTCTAGAGCTGAAGTTTTTATTTGTAACTGGCGAACTTCAGCTCTAGAGCTGAAGTTTTTGTTTGTAAGCTTCAGCTCTAGAGCTGAAGTTTTTGTTTTGTAACTGTCGAACTTCAGCTCTAGAGCTAAAGTTTTTGTTTGTAACTGGTAAGTTTTTGTTTGTAAGTTTCAGCTCTAGAGCTGAAGTTTTTGTTTTTTAACTGACGAACTTCAGCTCTAGAGCTGAAGTTTTTTATGGAAAAATCAGCTTTTTATGTTATCATCCACTTTAAATGCAGCAACCTCATTTCGTCTAACTCACACTCAGCTTTGCTCAGCCATTTTTATTGCTAAGCAACTGATATTCGAAAATACATTATACAGTTCTATTATACATTCAGACAATATAGATTTTTCTTTTTCTGAACACAGAAACATCTAATTCACATATATAAGGTTAGCTTTCTACTTGCTTCAATTATGCTTCTGACTATAGCAATAAGTTTCTCCACAAATTATGTTGGAAATATCCCAAGTACTAGAAGCTCTTTCTAAAAATGATTATTAATTTCTTGAAAATGAAATCCTAGATGAAAATGTTGTGTGAATACAGATTATATACATAGCCGTAACAGATTTCTTGCAGAAAAGGGAGAAGGAGAAGTTTGAGAAAGAAGAGGCGGATATAACTTTGAGGAGGAGAAGGAGGAGGAGGAGAAAGGGGGCTGAAGTTGTTTAAAAAGTGGGTACAAATTAAAAATTTTAAAAAAAATGGGTATAGGTTAAATGGGGGAGACCAAATAGGGCGCCCCGTGCAATTTTTACAATAAAATTGTATTATTATATAAGTCCAACATATATGAATTAAATAAATAAGTCTTAATCCATTGGGTTAGCCTATTTAATTGGGCTAAAGTGATGAGCCCACTTCATTAAGCCCAAGATGTCATCTTCTTAGAGGCCCAATTTGGTGCCACGTGTCAAATGACGTGGCGTAACAAGTCAAACGGAAGAGCCAATAGGATTGTGCCACGTGTCAAAATGACAAGGCATGCAAAGTCAAATTAAAGGATCAATGAAATCGCGCCACGTGTGCAAGTGACATGTTTCGGCCAATCAAATGCGGCCTTGTCACACTTCAATTTGATTGGTCGGAAAGAGTTTGTTCTTATCACAACTCTTCCCTCCCACAACTATAAATAGGGGTCTTCATAACTCAAAAAAAACACCAAAAGTTATAACAAGAAGCAAGTGAGAGCTCGTGGATCAAACGCCGCAAATTTCTCTATAAGTTTCAAGCTTCAAGCAATCAAGTTCAAGTTCAACCTCAAGAACGAAAAACAATTCAAGTGTTCAAGATCAAGAACGAAGTCAAACCAAATACAAGGCGTTCAAGATCAAGCCTACTTGTTGGTGATACAATTCGTGGCAACAATCAAAGTGTTCGCGACGGATAAATCAAATTCAAATTCAAGATCAAGCTCAGAGGCCCTGGAATATATACTAGAAAAGTAGAATCAGAGGAATCATAGAGATTGTAACACTCAAATATTCGAAATAAAATACTACAATTATTGCAATATTTTTCAGTCTTGATTTTATTTTCTTGACGCAATTTATTGTCTACAGGTACAATTCGATATTTTTTTTCAGTTTATTTTTGTAAAATTTAAAACCTATCCTATTATTCGGTACGATTATAAGTTTATATAATCGATTTGGTACGGTTCGGTTCAGTCTATATTTAGTCGGTTTTTAAAGATTCACCACAGTAACAACTTTCCAAGAGACCTCTGTCGACTAGAAAAATTAGCTAAATGTACTAAGCAACGGCTATTAGAACGCCAAATTCCGACTAGCAGTAAAAATAAGAAACAACAATAGGCATGGAGTCATGCATACGCCCTACTGCAGCACAGACATTGGCATTCTGCGGAACTTGAACAACCTGGTGGAGTTTGTAGATCAAAAGTGTTACAACAGAGAGTCTCCAAACCAACTATCTAAGTTGTTGTCATTAAAATTCATAACTTCAGCAAGCAGAGGCTTCCTCACATACTCGATGTGAGAAGCATGGGCATGAAGCGTGTGAGTAGGGGCATCCATTATGTACCATAACATTGATGGCAAGATCTCTGTGATTCTACATCGGATAAAACTAACTCTTCTTGGCACATCGGCCTATGAAGGAAATGCCATTGAAAGTACTTTGGAGGCCCAACTCATGAAGCATATGGAAAAGTCATTGAATCTCATTAGGCCTTCGCAATATGAAAGTTCAAGCCCAACAAAAGCATCCACTATTACAAGCCAGAGGCGAAGATGTGGCTAAAACCTTGCATGGATAAGCAAATGTCCATCAGTAACCTCGTCCCAGCTATTGTAGAGCCATCAGTCCTCTGCATCTTATTGACACCATCCCCATTCTTTACGCAGTATCCAACCACTGAAGTCCATATTATGCGACTTTCCAGAAACCTAAGCTCTAAAAATAATGAACTCCCGGAGATGACACAACCAAGCAAATTGGGGACCAATTCTTCACTTGATACACAACCAAAATTTGCAAAAATGATGCCTTCGGACTAATGTAGACGAGACTGAATGAATGTGCTAAATGAAGTCAATATAACTAAAGAGATTCTCAATTCACCAGACTATACCTACCTACCATTCTCTACATGATGTTTCAAAATTCTCATGGCTTGCTCATGAAGCTGGAAAATATGCTGTTCTATCCATGGGAACTAAACATACTATGCCACGTCTGACATGCCAAGAGTTTCTCACATAACTTCAAGAAATAACATTTTTCTACACTGTCTTTTTCAGTTTTACACCTTGATTTCGAGTTCTACCCTCAGATTTTCCAGACTTCTGAGTAGATCTCTGCTTCCTCTTAATGATCTTTGAGGCTAATGTTTTCAACGGAATAGTAATGTCCAAAGGCTGAAGAATTTGTTCCAACTCATGCCACTCAAGATCTTCGAAATCGCCATCTTCATACTTCACCCTGAACCAACCAACTTCCTCATCAAATTCAGTAACTTTCCCAAAGTAATACTTGTCCCCAAACAACTTGCGAACTTCTCTTCCTTCAAGCCATTGACCAAAACCAGAATTCTTACGTGGTTCTGCATCAGTAACTGTTGGACAGGGTAAAACGGTGTCAGCACTTGAAGAAGTGGGAGGTAGCCCATTAATAACGACAGCCGGCTCTCCAGGTAACTCAAATACTCCAGGTGATAAAGACTCCTCAGCATCACTTTCTTTACATGTAAAATCCATTTCCAGAAATCCTTCTAATCAACCCTATAAAAAGATGACCAAGTATTTTCTGTCATATAAAGAAGCTTATCACCTTCATATGACAAGAAGTAGAAGAAACGTCCAATTAGATTCAACCACTAATCTCAACATTTAGCAATTCAGATATTTGTCAAAGCAAAAAACAGAGAAAATAAAATAAGTTTACCTGCATGCAAGGCTGCAGCAAGGGAAAATTACACTATATATAGGTAAAATACTAGGTTTTAGAGATATATAACATAAATTGAACACCTTTTGTCGGGATTTCTTTTAATACTTATTTCAAGTTCGAATACCCTTGGAAAAATTCCTGGCTTTGCCACTGGCTGCAGCCTAGTGTTCAATGTTGAGAACAATGAGATCCCAGGTTCACATCCCAACAAAATCACAACATAGCACTTAACATTTTCATTTTTTTTTTTGGCTTACATTACTTCCCCGTTTAAATGGAGAAATGTCAACATATTAAAATTAAAAGATAGATTGAGTATATCAATTAACTCAAAGATAAGTACAATATCACAACTTAGAAGCCGTTATTGCACCAGGAAAAAAATACAAATGCAAGTTAACTAGTGTAAATTACAAAAATTATGAGAAATCGGACTCATTTTCGTTATGCGGATCCAAAGCAAAGCACTTTAACTAAAGTAATAATTCGTAATCTACGGTTAGAATTCATAGGGAAAGGGGTTTAGGGTTTTTGTTTCATGAGAGAAAGAGAAGATTATTGAAGAGTGGACAATGAGAACGAGAGAAAAGGAGGGAACTTACAATTCAATTTCAACGGCGAGAGAGAGAGAGAGAGACAGGGGCAGCGTTCGCCGCAGAAAGAGACGGAGAGAAGAGCGTTTGAGTTTTGACGCCGGAGAGCTATTTTGAAGGCGGCGGGCCAAAATCTACCGGAATTTAGGTCCCAATTTTTAGCCAAAACTGTCCCCTACGCCCTATATGTCGGGGGAGGTCTAGTTTTGTCCTTTAAGTATGCTCTTAATCATCTTTAATCCCTTATGTTTAATAAAGTAGAACACCTTCTAGTCCAACTAACAACCTGACAAGCTTAATTAAAAAAAAAATTAAAAAATTTCCAGGAAACCCACAGCTGCTAAAGATGCGTTTTGGGTAACCTGCTCACTATGGCAAGCCCATTATGATAAACACTGACTGAGGAGGCAGTTAGTTAGGGGAATCGATTCCAGATCTCCCATGTGGGAAACCACTCATCCACCTAACTCAACCAACCCTTACGGTCGGAATTAAAAATGTTAACCACATTTTTTTTAGCCGAAGAGTCTAAGCTATTTGACTTCAATAAGGTGTAATAGAAGCAGAGCAGCCTGCTTTGCTATTGCAACCCCAGTGCTGTTTGTGCTAGTGTGTGTACATCAATAACATATCGTATTGTTTGTTAAAAAAAATCTATTACATTATATTTACATTATTGAGAAAAAATGAAGAAGTTTAATAGGATATTTGGAAATTTTGCTCGGTTTGTCTGTCGAGAGAAAGATGGTTATATAATGTTGGGTGAACTTGACGGGGAAATTTAACATTGGATAATGGATATCACACACTCCATTTCACTGATTATATAATGGTTATATATATATATATATATATTTTTGTGTGTATATATATATATATATATATATATATATATATATATATCCTTTTATTCAGAAAAATTAGATTCCTTATCTTTTTGTAAGAAAATATATAGAATGTGCGATTCAATTAGGATAATTGCTGTCGCGTAGTATTGTTAGCATTACGCATTTCTGAGGGAATTGAACAAATTGGAGGCAATGATATCAAAGACGGATTCAGGATTCAAATTCTATAGGTTTGACCTTTAATTTTATTAGCATTAAGCCTATTGTATTTTTGAATTATGAGTTCACATTGATTATTATTACAATTTTAGTAGATTTTTACACATAAATATATGCTCTGCGCAAAAATTAGTGAATTCAGATAAACCAGACAGAATATGTTGCATCCTCCTTTGAATGATATAGGTTTGATGTGATAGAAGTGGTCTTGATAAAGTGAATCATTTGTATGGTAAATTGGTGTACATATATTTCAAGAGTAGGCCATGTTCGTATATATATATATATTTGCTCTTTTTTGTTTTCCACCAGATGTTTTGTATTTGTATTGGAGTTCTAATTAATTCGAATTCACATTGCGTAAGGTCCATTTTAAAGAAAAAGTGCTTCCTACTAGAATTTTTTACACTCACAAGATTCAAATCCAAAACTTCTATTTAAGAATGCAAAAATTCTAGTTATCCCACAACAACCTTTAATGATATATATTGCTCTTGTGCTTGTTGTTTTTCACCTTATACCCTGTTGAAGTTGATTAAAGTGGACAAAAGCTTCTTGACAAAGGCCGACATTCGTCGCAACTCCATTCCATTCTACTCCAACAACCTCACATCCCTAGGCCTCCCAATAAGTACCATAGTCCCACACGTACACATGCTTAATAGTTCATCTTTCTAACAAAACCTTTATCTTTTTAGCCCATTAAGTCCAGTGTCACATTCTCCCTCCGTTTCAGATCCAACTCCCCTCCATTTTTTATTCTCTCCATTTCTCCAAATTCCTACTTGGATGGATAACACATGTATTATCGTTATATCAATGGTCTAAATTTAATTGCCTAAACATTTACTTAACCATGGTTAGGATAATAATATTTTCATTATTTTTTTCTGAATTTTTGATATTCTTTCCAATTTCGTTCTTCTTTTTTCCTTTTAAATAGAACAACACTTACAACAGAAATACAACATATGAATATTAAGATATCTCAAACGTATTATGCCAAAAAGTATTTTTACCAAATAATGAAGTGAAATATTTTTGAAAATAAATAGAAGAAAGTAGTTCCATTTCATATTATATCTTACAATCTCCCTCCATTTTTATTGAAAAACAATGAATCTGCCTATAAACTATAGATAATGGCATAACATAATTATGAGACTCGATGATCTTTAAACAACAATTTAGGTATATGTAAAAGTTTGTAGTAAATTATTACAAATACGTTCAGTTTGTCTACCGAAACAAATAACCCACCATTATTGGATCAAAAAGTCTAAGATGTTTGAGTTGTTTTCTCTCTTTTACTTTGAAGAAAAAAATACCTAGGAATCGAAATATTGAAATAAGTTAACATAACAAAGTATTAAAGAAGAAAATCACTGTGGACAAAAAGTTTTTCACATAAACTAAATGAATGAATTTTGAAAACTTGTCGAAATTCAAGATTTCAAAAACTTATATTTATTCTACGTGCTCCTTTTTACATTCAAAAAGGGTTTAAAGCAAATAAAAATGCATTAATTGATGAGTATTCAGAATTTAGCTCCTACAATTACGGGATTATCAAATCTTTTAGTTATGGGATTGTCAAATTTATTTTAACTGTGGTTAAAACGTTGTGTCAAGTAATTAAATTTAGACCATTGATATAAAGATAAGACATGTGTTATCCATCCAAGTAGGAACTTGGAGAAATGGAGACAATAGAAAATGGAGGGGAGTTGTTTTTCTCTGTTTCAATTTATATAAATCTATTTCCTTTTTAGTCCGTGCCAAAAATAATGACGCCCTTTACTTATTTGGAAGCATTTTACCTTTATGCAATGATTTATAGCTACACAAAATATATGTGCCTCATTTTTACACCATAAATTTAGAAGTTTTTCTCTCTTTTCTTAAACTCCGTGCCCAATTAATCTAACCCAGAATGGACCATGCAAATTTTTGTGACACTTTCCTTCTTTTTCTTCTTCTGCTTTGCGTGATATGGTTAATTACTTGTTTACCGCAATGATCACTAGGAAACTATATTCAATAGGAGGGAAAATCACCTATTTAAATTTTGTTAAGGGCCCCTCACGAACTATGTTTTTTGATTTAGCTATCAGGTATTTAAATTTATAGGCTCGAGTAATTTTAATTCGCTTTAGATAGGCTCAATAAAAGGTTAAATGCTACCTACAAACATATTTTTAATTTCCATAACTTAGAATCTGAAACCTCTTATCAAAGGTTCATCCCACCAATTCCACCACACTTGTTGATTCATTTATTCTCAAATATAATGTACCAATATTTCACGAAATTGGCCATGGGATAGTTTGTAAACCACTGGCGTTGCTTATAGTCTTGAACTACAGTTGTCTTGTTTTTCTTCCTTTCGTGTCACTATCACATGGCCATAATTTTGTTAGACTTTTCTTTGCCCTTTTTCTCATGTGGATAGAATTAACTCACCTTGCAATTTAAAGATTTAATTATTGAGCGACTAGGAAATATATACTCATAGCAATCATTTGTAATAATTTCATGCATGATATAGTCGTAAAGTAAAATACACACCTCTATAAATTAAGCCCACATGTTCCAAAAAACTCAATCCATAATAATGGAAGATCAAAAACACTTGGAATCCATAATCATGGCAGCTCTTTCTACGTTAACCCCTTTGCAACTCACAAATCTAAATCACTATTCCTCCTCCCTCTACCACCGTTACCACCGCCGTATTTTCTCTCTCCTCTCTTCTCCCACCCTTTTCTCTCTCACTCTCCACTACCTCAACTCCCTCTCTCTCCACCATAAATTCGTCCTCATCGCCTGTCACCTCTTGTCAAAACTCGCAATTTTGGTATACTTCATGCAAAAAAAGACAATTTTGCCCCCACCCACGACCACCACCATGAATCTCCGGGACTTAGACGCAGTTCTCCTCCTCCTACTCCTCTGTGAACTGCGCCAACATGAACCTGGGGCACTTGATGCCCCACCATCGCATTGGCGCGATATCCTATGTGACTATGTAGCCCAGGACATGTTGAAACTATCTAGCATTGAAAGTTCTAAAAGTGACGTCATAATCAAGTTCGTTGAGCTAGTCGCAAAGTGCAAGAATTTTGTCAATGTTATGGCCTATGATGTTGTTGAATTCGGGCGGAGCTCCAGGTAAAAATACATTTTTTTTATATATTTATAAACTGTTGTAACTTTTAGTCAAAGATGAATATAATGGACCAGATGGTTATTTTTTACACGGAGTTTAGACACACATGTAAAATATTATATCACAATTAATGTCAACTAAGTATTAACTTTTAAACTCATAAATTATAATTGCAAAAAATTTTAGGTCATACGTTCAAATCACAAGTGTGATTCTTGTTTCTTTTTTCCAGAATTCTCGACTCTGCCACTGGTGGTGAAGGAAAAGATAGCAAGAAGTTAGCGACATCCGTTGCGGTGGTGGTGGCGCTGCCGTCAGTGGAAGTGTTGAGTGGCAGTGAAAGGGAATGTGTGATATGCAAAGAAGAGATGAGAGAAGGCAGAGATGTTTGCAAATTACCATGTGATCATATTTTTCATTGGAAATGTATACTACCTTGGTTGAAGAAGATGAATACTTGTCCATGTTGCCGGTTTCAGCTGCCGTCCGATGATGTTTTGGCTGAAATTCAACGGTTGTGGGAAATGCTAGCCAAGATGAGTGGTGCTACGTAGTTTGTACATGCATAGCCAGAAGATTAAATTAATCAGTGGATGAAATTTTAATAGCAATCTTTTTCAGCCAAAAAAAAAAAAAAAATCAGCCTCGCTAGCTAATATATCCAAAAAATATCTATACAGAAACACAGGTAATAGTTCCAAGTGGAGTATTCTTATAGCCTTATCATTTTAGAACAGGTGGAAAATGTAAATATACACGTAGACATATTCGTTTTTTCATGAGTAATGGGACCATTGGAAGTTAATGTGAGACTGGGTTCAATTATTCGACACTGAAATTATTTTATTATGTAGTATAGTATGCAGTCTGTTTGTAATTTTTGGTAAATATTTGTGTATTCTATCCCTTTATGTAATGTATCAAGGTCGTAACTAGAGTTGTCAATACGGGCGGG